AAAACCCCCGCCCCTTTCCTTCCATTGGTTGGCCAGACCCACCGCTCCCCCTTCACTAGCCCCCACCCCGCGATCCATTCATTTCACACAATAACGGGCTCAATTGGAGTCGGTTCGAGACCTCCCATCGGTAGGCAAGACTGTCCGCCACTTACCCGGGATCGAGACCGATCTCTCACGCAAATGTCTTCTCTGTTGCTCTGTGATGAGAGCCGGACCACAAGCCACCGCTGCCTCCGTCTTCTGCGCAACGCCAACCGCCCGCCAAAACGGATCCTTCCCTGCGCCTGCGCTACCAATCCTGGGACCAGACCTTTTCTCCGCCCATTACGCCTGCGCAAAACGAGGCACAACTCCCGCCATTACGCAGGCGCTGTAGGTTCGCCACCGTCTCCCGCCCGCCATTTCACGTGTTTCTTGAGCCAGGCGGAACTTCTTAATGCGCCTGCGTGAACTCGCCATTTTACTACACATGCGTTCAGCTGGAGGTTGTTGCAAAAAATAAAATTGTCACATTCTACTTTTTGATACATAGCGCTAATCATGCTTTGACAACTGAGTACAATGTAACATTTGCAGCTTGGGAGATTAGAATGTTATTTAAATACCCTAGATACATTTAAACATGAATGATTGGTTGGGTAGCCAATCAGACGAGTTAAGAATAATATTACTCGGGAACCAATAGTCTCCGAGGGGTGGGCACTGCGTAGAACGCCCAAACGGGTGACGTTACAGCAATGCGGCACCACAGACCAATAGGAGCAGGAAGCTATGTCAGTTATCCTATCAGAGCTACCAAGGGGCGGAGTCTACCAATGCCGCAAGGGAGGAGGCGGGATAAAAAAGCGAGGCAGAAAGTAGGCTGGCAGATACGCTCCTTAGATCACTCCTTTCTGCTGGCGAACGCCGCGGAGTAAGCATCGTTGGAATTTCCACTGTAGCAGTCATCATGTCTAAGTCTGAGGTGAGTTAGACGCTCTCTACAACTTCACTTTCTCCCTCGTCCCTTCCTGAGTTCTATGAGATGCAGTGTGGATGGGCTGCTTGCACCAGCCCATTCGGCAGTTCTTGGGTCGCGCCCAGGGCCTACCCCTCCCGAAGTTCAGGTCGCCATTTTGTCCTCGTCGTGGCCATGAGGCCGTCGAGCTGAAACCCTTAGTTATCAGCCGCTTGTTACTCCCAGTAAGACTCTTAGACATTACACCGATTTTTTTTTTTTTTTTGCTTTGTCTCAGAGGCGAATTTCTTAAAAGCAACTGTAATCTCTTACTGGCAATGGATCCCTCCCACCTAGTCCTTTTGTTGCGCGTGCGTCGGGAAGCAGGGACGCATGCGCCCGCGGTTTCCCAGCCCCAACAGAAGGTCTCCCCCACGGGGAGAAGCACGTGGCTAGTTGCGACCCGCGGGAACAATATGAGTGCTGCCACGGTGCTGTCTAGTTCTGCTTCTCGTGCGGGAAAAGTGTTTTGCGTTAAGCGCCCACTTAACGCTTCCCTCCACCCCCCAATCCTAGTCTCCCAAGGAGCCGGAGCAGCTGCGGAAGCTCTTTATCGGAGGTTTGAGCTTTGAAACAACCGATGAGAGTCTGAGGAGCCATTTTGAGCAATGGGGAACGCTCACGGACTGTGTGGTAAGGCCTGGAGGAGACAAAAGGGCAGTAGAACCAGTCGATTTTCCTGGGCTTGTCTTGTTCTGTCTGAATGCTTGGGAAAATTAACAGGATTATAATTGCAGATAACTTGGGCGGGAAGGTGTGGGCTTAAGTGATTAAAAGGCTTTTATTCCTAGATTTACTCTAGGTGGGTAATGGGAGCTGCAGGGCTTTGTATAAAGGGCCAGTATAGTTTCCTGTACCTTATTCAAGGTGGAAATGTCAGTGGCTTTGGGGATCTTACTGTGTGTTAAATGAATTATATCTCAGGTGATGAGAGATCCAAACACCAAGCGCTCCAGAGGCTTTGGGTTTGTCACCTATGCCACCGTGGAGGAGGTGGACGCAGCCATGAACGCGAGGCCACACAAGGTGGACGGAAGAGTGGTGGAACCAAAGAGGGCTGTCTCGAGAGAAGTAAGAGATGCTTTTTCTTTCCCCTTGGAAGTGTGCCGTTATGTACACTAGGGATGGCAAGAAACTTCGATCCTAATTTTGGGATAGATCCTGCTCTAACTTAATTGAGGCCTTTTCCCTCTTAGGGAGGAGGTGGACGCAGCCATGCACGCGAGGCCACACAAGGTGGACGGAAGAGTGGTGGAACCAAAGAGGGCTGTCTCAAGAGAAGATTCTCAAAGACCTGGTGCCCACTTAACTGTGAAAAAGATTTTTGTCGGTGGTATTAAAGAAGACACTGAAGAACATCACCTAAGAGATTATTTTGAACAATATGGGAAAATAGAAGTGATTGAAATCATGACTGACCGAGGCAGTGGCAAAAAGAGAGGCTTTGCTTTTGTAACCTTTGACGACCATGACTCTGTAGACAAGATTGTCATTCAGAAATACCATGCTGTGAATGGCCACAGCTGTGAAGTAAGGAAAGCTCTATCTAAGCAAGAGATGGCTAGTGCTTCGTCCAGCCAAAGAGGTGGGTTTTTGCTTTTATTAAACCTTAAAGTCCAATTCTAATTTGTGTGGTTCAACACTTAAAAAACTTTTCTTGTTAAGGTCGAAGTGGTTCTGGAAACTTCGGAGGTGGTCGTGGAGGTGGTTTTGGTGGAAATGACAATTTTGGACGAGGAGGAAACTTCAGTGGTCGAGGTATTGGATTATACTCCACTCTTATCTACTAATAGTAAGCTTGTAATTTAATTAATGCAGATAATTTGCCCTTTATGTAATCTGTGGCAGTATTGTAACTACTGGTCAACATTTCCAAAGTTACATTTTATCCAAAGGTTCTGACTTCTCACTAACCAGAAGTTAAACACTCTGGTATGGGAATCGTTTTTATAGTGCAGGAACTACTTCCTAGAGTTCATACTTACAAGGCTGGAATTTGTATGCAATTTATATACTTCAAACCTGCTTTAAAATTTTGCTCTCTTACAGGTGGCTTTGGTGGCAGCCGTGGTGGCGGCGGATATGGTGGCAGTGGAGATGGCTATAATGGATTTGGTAATGATGGTAAGTTTTGTTCGTTGTTTTAGGAATTAGACAAGTGAGGTTTTTTGGCTGTCTACAGAATAGATGGGTAGAAACTAAAACTTGAGTGCATCTAGTGCATGACAAGCTAAACTCTGACCATAACAGCATGATTCAAGCAGGCTGTTTCCCATTAGCCGTAAAACAGATTTTGATTGTTGAATACTTTTGTCTTATTGAGAAGAATTGTATTCTTGTAGGTGGTTATGGAGGAGGCGGCCCTGGTTACTCTGGAGGAAGCAGAGGCTATGGAAGTGGTGGACAGGGTTATGGAAACCAGGGCAGTGGCTATGGCGGGAGTGGCAGCTATGACAGCTATAACAACGGAGGAGGCGGAGGCGGCTTTGGCGGTGGTAGTGGTAGGTATCCAGTGATCCAGGTACTTGGTGCAGTAGCTAGATTAGTCTTGTAGAGTTATGCCCGTGTGGGGATTAGATGCTCTTAAAAGCATTATGTGGTACACTGCATGGTACTTTTTAATGGGCTTGCTATGCTACCTCCTAGCTTTAAGCTGGGGCCGCCTCACTCTCAACTAGTTGAATAAGTGGATAGTGGTGTGTTCAACTGGAACTAGATTAGCTTTAGTAGGATTTAGTGTTTTAACTTCTTTGGGACTATAGGCACTTAGTTGATGTATCCAGCATGTGTTTGCAGTGCCCCTGGATGGATAAAGGCCTTCAAGGCTAGAGAATATGTTGTCATGGTGAGTTGGGTACATTTTTTAAAAAAAAAAAAACACACTGGATTATTCAACTGAATGCCTTGTCCAGAAAATATAAAATGCAAAGATAAACGTTGGAGCCATCCGAGTTTGGGAGAAAGGCAAGGCAGGTCGTGCAACCTCATTCCCCCCTCCCCCCCCAACTCTGAACACTAAGTAGATTCAGTACAGCCCTCTTTCCATTCCTAGGAAGCAATTTTGGAGGTGGTGGAAGCTACAATGATTTTGGCAATTACAACAATCAATCTTCAAATTTTGGGCCTATGAAAGGAGGAAACTTTGGAGGCAGAAGCTCTGGCCCTTATGGTGGTGGAGGTCAATACTTTGCCAAACCACGAAACCAAGGTAGGGTGCATGTATATGTAGTATTAGAGGGCTAAGTGTATTTCTAACTGGTACTGGTTATAAAAAGCTTACAATTTAAAGCCTTCAAAATACTGAAGTGATTGGTAATTTGCAATCAAATTGAAAATATCATCTGAGCTTAAACTCAGATTTTAACTTTACTGCTTCAAATATAAACGCATTACTATAGATATTTCCAAAAGTTTAAAGGAACAACCCTTATTCTTAGGTGGCTATGGCGGTTCCAGCAGCAGCAGTAGCTATGGCAGTGGCAGAAGGTTTTAATTACTGCCAGGTAAGTAAACATCTTTTTGTATTTTGACTTAGTTTTCATAATTGATAATGAACCCAGTAACCCTAATGTAGTTAAGCGGTGCAACATAGTTAACATTATAACTTCAGTAAAATTGTGGATATTAAGCTAATAATTCAGATCAGCAAAATTTGTGGGAAACAAAACTTGATATTGGATTGTAGCCTTTAAGTCTTAATATGTTTAGATTAACAACTTTATTCCATATTGTTCAACAGGAAACAAAGCTTAGCAGGAGAGGAGAGCCAGAGAAGTGACAGGGAAGCTACAGGTTACAACAGATTTGTGAACTCAGCCAAGCACAGTGGTGGCAGGGCCTAGCTGCTACAAAGAAGACATGTGTTAGACAATACTCATGTGAATGGGCAAAAAAAAACCTCGAGGACTGTATCTGTGAGTAATTGTATAATAGGTTATTCTAGTTTCTGTTCTGTGGAAAATGTAAAACATTCCAACCAAGGGTTT